CCCACCTTCCACATCCCCTTCTTCCAGGAATAGGTACTCAGGGGAATTTACATCCTTGTTTGTCAGCCAGAGTCTTACACAGTCCTCCAGGGCAATGGTCGCCAACCTTTCAGACCTCACCCCCGCGGACCACCAGTTGGCGACCGCTGCTCCAGAGGACTATTTGAGTGCCTCATGGGAGGCTGGAAATGGTGCTTGGCAATGAAGGCTTCAATTAGAACCACTTCCATGTCTTGGCCAACGTGAATAATGCTGCAATGAACATAGGGGTGCATATGTCTTTGGGAATACATGAATTTGAGTTTTTCGGTATATATATTCAGAAGAGGGGTTGCTACAATAGATAAAGAAGATGTAGTACATTACACAATGGACTACTACTCAGCCATAGGAAAGGATGAAATAGCACCATTTGCAACATGGATGGACCTGGAAGACATTATGCTAAATGAGGTCAGTCAGTCAGAAAAGGCCAAGAACCATATGATTTCACTCATATGTGGGATATAAACCTGAAACTCGTGAACACAAACAGCCATGTGGTGATTGCCAGAGAGAAGGGAATGGGAAGAGAAGGGGGTCCTAATATATAGTGACAGATTTGTCTTTGGGTGGTGGGCACAGTGCAATATACAGATCTTGTAACATAGAAACCCACACCTGAAACCTCTTTGTTCATGTTGACCAATGTCACCCCAATAAATAAATAAATTAGAACAATCTTGTTGATGGGGAAAGGGCCGTCTCCCAGATCACTTCTGCAGGGGATTGTAGGGTTCTATTGCCCCAGCTGGTTCTTGTTTTCTCTTTGATTGGTTTAAAAGCAGGCTCACGTGGATGAGTGCAGCAGGAACCAGTAGAGCTAACTGCCCTAGAGGCAGCCAGCAAAGATTACCGTGTGTCGATGCAGTTGTACAATCCTTTTAACATATAGGATTGCTATATGTGGTGATTTATAATGATCAGGTAAGCCAGTGAAACACCTCATGTCCTTTTCCCTTGAAATATGTTTAATGAAGGAGACATGGCATCATTTAAGTAGAATTAACAGAGTTGCTTCACAATGTGTTTACTATTTGCTCGATGTTTTTGTCAGTTATTTCAGGGTCATTGTTTCTGCCAGATTATTTCATCAATGGTGCAAACAAACTCAGACTATTGTTCACAGAATTGGGACAGATTATGGATGTGGAATATGGATAGTAACCTTGTCACAATTGCAGGTTCATCACTAGAATTCAACAATTCTCCCACCACTTTTTATTTAGATTTGGACGTTGTCTAAATTCATATTGGAAGTTCTTTAGAAATAATCCAGGTATGTTTTATATGGCCATAGGGGTGCCCTCTGTGAATGGTAGAGAAATCAGTGGAAAGTATAGTGTGGTTTTATCTGCATTCTTGGTCTGATTGCTCTTGTCCTCAATTCACTTGAATATTTCTATCTAATTGGTTAATGTTATTAAAGCTTGGCTTTATGGTAATTTGTATGCATTCAGGATATTTTAGTCTCATAGTAGTTCTGAGTTAAATGCAGCTGAAAGGATGAAAAGTAGTTTTACTTTTACAATTTACTTTCTTAGTCCACATTTATGAGTAAAAGAAGTGGAAGAAACCAGAGTGACTTCCTGAAATTTGTACTGAGGCTAAGCCCCTTAATCATTTAGAGAGATCCAAATCTGAGAATTACCTGCAGCAGCAAAATTCTACAAAAGGTGGTGGTATGTGTGTTACTCAGGGTGCTCTGGATAAACAGAGCCAAAAGGATGGCTGAAAACTTCCCATATTTAATGAAAACCATTCATCTGCATATTCAAGGTCAACAAATTCCAAGTAGGATAACCTCAAAGACTCACACCCAGACATATCATTGTAAAAATGATAAATTACAAAGAAAAATTTGAAACCATCGAGAGAAAAATGTCATGGATGTTGTCATGTATAAGGGAACACCAGTAAGACTGGCGGCTGACTTCTCATCAGAAACAATGGAGGCCAGAAGGCCACTGTCCTGATTCAGTAATGCTATGTCTATAAATCATAGATCTACAGAGCTGCAGCCCCAGTATAGAACTTCTACATACGTGTTTACCATCCCAGCCTCATTCCCCAGGCAAGGAAATCAATGGCTACATGTCACACAGAGTTGGAGACAGATGCAGCAGCTCCCAGTCTCCTGACAACTGGTCCAGGGCACCATTCTGCATTTGTTCAGACCCAGCCAGCATCACAGGTCCTTTTACATTTCTACCTAAGCTTTTGAATTTTAAAAAACCAACCAAGCTTGTTTGTACTGCTCCAGAGAGCTCTAGGACTGGAGTATTCATGCTTAAAAAGGAATAATTCATCAACACTTAAGAAAGGTTATTATACATACTACAGGCCCAAAGCACAAAAATTTGTGCAAGAGTAGGTCTTCCTTCCCCTGGCTGCTGGGACCGGCTTCCCTCTGGCACCCGGGACCCGGGCTGCCGGCACCGGCTTCCCTTGACACCTGGGACACGGGCCTCCCTCCTCTGGCTGCCAGAAAGCACCCTGAACCTGGGCTGGCTTCCCCTCGGCTGTCCCCGGTACCCGGGACCTGGCTGGCCTCCCTCTGGCCCCGGTTTCATCAGGAAGGATGTCTGGAATGACGTATGGAAGACATCCAGTCTAATTAGCATATTACCCTTTTATTATTATAGATTATTATTATAGACTAGAGGCCCAGTGCACAGAAATTTGTGCACTCGGGGGGGGGAGTGGGGGGTTCCTCAACCCGGCCTGTGCCCTCCCGCAGTCTGGGACCCCTCGGGAGATAACGACCTGCTGGCTTAGGCCCGCTCCGGGGTGGCAGAGGGCAGGCCCAATCCATAGGTGCAGACCCTGGTTGGGCTCAGAACAGGGCTGATAGGGGAGTTGGGGCACCACCCCGTCATGCACAGAGCAGGGCGGATCGGGAGGTTGCAATGCCACCCTCAGTCA